GCGAGGCAGAGCTTTAGTATCTGGTTACAGCCCCAGAGACATGTTTTAACAGTTGTGTTTGTGTTTTTGGTGGCACACTGCCCCGGGGAAATATTTTTCCATTTTATTGCCTCAAATAAATTCAACGTAATTTTACCCAAACTACATGACAAACACACTTAAACGGTAGAGCGTAAGAAAGAGTATTCCCCCAGACCAAAATCAATCTTTGGAAGGTAATAAAATCTCCTGGGAATGATCAGCTTTGATCACGGCTGTTTCAGTAACGGATCCAACCACTCCAAACACATTCTGTGGTGTGAGTTAATAACACTCCCTGTTCACTCTCATCCTGTGCCACGATACTGTACATGTGGTGCAAATTAATTAATACAGTATGTTTTGACTGAGTATACACATAGAATTCTGAGTCAAACACACACACACACACACAGGGCTGGGAATTTTTAACACTTTAAATTAGCACTGACATTAACACAATTATCGTTCACTAATGTTCCTTAAATTAATTCGATTCATTAAGAAAGTTTGGACATCTATTTAAACATTGGGACACATGCTAACATGTGTATCTGTCCATATTTACTTAAACACTGTTCTGAAGGCGGTCACTTTAGGGTCACAGTTTACTGTGGGGTCTCTTTCTGAATGTCCTAATCAGGACTCTGCAGTGCGAGTGAAACCTCAGTGAAATCATCTGACAGTGGATCGCTTTCATGAGATCAGAGTGTGAAAAATGCATCATGACTTATGGATTGTAGTTTCACACCTCTCAGCAGCCTGTGCTGTTAAAGCACACGCTCACACCTGCTGACAGACCAGGCAACTCTGAGGCCCTCAAACATCACCACTGATCAAAGCCAGAGCCCCGATGGTCTTCGTCAGCTCTCGGAGTGATACCTGTTCATGACTTGAACATGCCGATGCAGAGCTGCATGAGGGAAGATGTCGTCACCATCGTGCCACAGTCAATAGTAACAACTGAGAGACTGAAACACTCTGACAAGTCCTTCTGTCATCAGCCAGTATGGTTCTCATATTGACAAGTTCAAAGTCACAGCTCAACTGTACACAACTTAAAAAAAAAAAAAAAACTTGTTGAAGAAGATCTTTAAGAGTGTCTTTCTTCAATTCCTGCCAGTATGTCAGCATTGTGTTCAACTAAACAGGCAGGGATTTGAGTCAATTATGAGGTCATTTAAACTAAAGTTAGGGTTAGGGTTATTATATTTCATTACACATACTTTTTGTGAGAGTTTTGTTTGGTGGTGTGCCGTGGGGTTTTTCCTGATTATATATTTGTGCTGTGGTTTAAAAAAGGATGGGAAACACTGCTCTAAAATTATACTAGTGAATATTGTGGACCATGTGAAGTTTTTTAAGTTGTTCATGTAACAAGAAGCAGTCATTTGCACTAAACAAACCTTGTCAACAGTTGCGTTTTAAAAGAGCATAAACAAACCTTGTCAACAGTTGCGTTTTTAAAGAGCATTAAAGGCATGAAAAATAAAAAAAACCCTTTTTTGACGATCACACAAGAAATTACATTGAAATGTGTTAATCAACTGACAGACCAATCATTTACAAAAGTATATCTTGAAACAAACAGATGATAATTATTACTATGGTCAAAGCATTTCTACCTGAAGAGAAAGAAATTCTTCATTCTAGGGTTTTGGTAAATTAACTGTCAAGTGCTGTGTGATTGAAGAAAGACATCATTTTGCGACAACAATTACATAATTTTAATTTCTGAAACAACAGCACAAATATCACTAACATGCACACTTTGAGTGCATGCCTTAATCTTCTGGCAAAGTAAGTCAGGTATTTTTTCATCAGTTTTAACGGAGGAAGTTTACGGTCACACAACAAGCCCTCATAACAGTAAGTGAAAAATTGGCATCAGTGACATGCAGTTCCACTTGGTTGCCTCTGATTCAGAGGAGATTGACACGACTCGCGTGCGTGTTGAAAAAATATCAACTGCAGACTGAGGCAGACAGCAGGTCTGGCTGGAGTCCAACACATGGAGAAGTCACTAGTCAACATGTCATGTCTGGTTTGTTTATTCTGTACAGAACCTGGCATGTCAAAACAACACGCTGAGATTCTGTCACCATCACATCACAGGGGGATAGATGGATGATCCGATCTTCACATATAGGTTCAACCCATAAACACTATACACATGACTCAGTGCAGATGGTATGATTGCAGATCAGGTCTACTGAGGGCTTAGGCTGCAGTAAATGAACAATCTTGTCTGGTACCAGGTGTGGACAAGGGAAGGTCAAACAGATCTGAGGAAAATTATGGTTGGAATACTGGAAAAATGCTCTGGCATCAGGTCACAGTCTGCCTCCTATCTTACATCTGAGTTACATCCAGTTTCTTTTCAATTATCTGGAAAAAAAGATGCAGCTAGATCAAAACCTGTTACAAAACGATCATATTTTTAACAGATGTCTATTCATGTTTGGTTAAAAGTTTGAAGTTTGCTCTGATTTGGGTTGTTGTGGAAAAAACCTGCTCAAAGTAAACACAACACAAATCAACATTTGAATCATATAAAACAAACGCTCCACAGCTGTTGGAGACACCTGAGAGACGTGTCCTAATGTGTTTTAAATAATAAACCTGGACACTTTTTGAAACTATTACATTTGTCTTGGTAACTTTTTGACTTAACTGTGTTTGTGACAAACCTGAAAAAAATGTAAATGTTTTTTAGTCCCTTTTTCAATGACACTTTTTGAAACTATTACATTTGTCTGAGTAACTTTTTGACTTAACTGTGTTTGTCACAAACACAGTTAAAGGTAAATGTTTTTCAATCCCTTTTTCAATGTTTTTTCACATAATAATGTGTAAATTCCATAGCCAGCTTAGAGGGACGTTGAACTGAGGTCTGTCTGACCTAAATACAGATGATGTGGTGATTTATCTCTTTATCACAGAGTTTACACACATCACAGAGAAAGGTGTCGGAATTACCAAAAGGAAACATGTTAGTGCTACTTTGTCAAATACTTAGTGAATTAGAGAGTCCAGGGTATAAGTGAGGAGGATGTGAGGGCAGCCGCGGAGAAATGAAAAGTGGAAAATGATAAACAGATGACATACCTGTGATGGTATGGTGAGGGAACACTTGGCTGAAGAGTGGAAAAATAGGGAAGGAAGGAATGACGATTTAGAAAACAAAGGTAACTTGTGAAACTGTTTGGGCAAAAAGTTGACCAGTCAAAGACATGAGACGGAGTTAGTGAATCCAGGCTAAAGTGAGATGTTCTCCAAATTGGACCGCACTTTGGCTTCTTGCCAAGTGAGGTAAAATAAATACACGACTGCATATGTAAAGAGATGAAAAGGCAAAAAGAGTAAGTTGGGAGAGGCAGAAAAGTATGTGAGAGTGGTGCAGGTCAGGAAAGATAGTATATAACGATGCCCATTTATGAAAACCCAACCCAAAAGTATCGGCGAGTACACATATAGAAATATGCTTATCGATTTTTTAAAGAATGGTTCCTGGGAACAATCCAACCCAAGAAAGTGGCTTAAAGAAAAAAAACATTGAATACTCTGCAATTTACACAGTTGTAATAAACTTCCCAAGTTAAATAATATCTCTGCACCACAAGTGAGTTCAGATTGACTTCAGTGCTGAGTGCTATGGTGTTCCTCTGATGCAAAATTGCCAAAAACATAGTAGATTACAATCTTTAAAAACAACAACCAAAAAAAACATAGTGTGCACAACAATGAGAATCTTACATGGTGATGGAAAAAGCAGTCCATCCAGCAGACTCTTATGGAAACAGTAGAGTTGTATATAAATATTTGAGTTATACTTTTATCTGTTTCCAAGCCCTAAAGTCGCAACAAAAACACAAAGTGATCCAACATCCAGCCGGCCCAGCGCCTGTTAATGTGTTTATTTTTCCTGCTGTCAGGGAGAGCAGAAGAGAAGAGAAGAGAAGGTCACTGAGAGAAAGTGACTCCTGCGAAACCCAAACATTAGAAGAAACCTCTGTCTTTTACTTCACGTAACCAGACGTCAAACAAGGGGTCACTTTGTTGAGTGTTGGACAGGAGAAAACATCTCAGAGTGTAAGGACAGGGACGTGTTGCTTTTGAAAGATACCAGTGATCCATGGCCCTGATGCTAAACCACAACAAATTCTATTTTGTTCAGGAATTTACCTGCGTAGCTGTGTGAATCTTTTTTCCTATCTTGTCGTCTGGAAAAGTTTAGAGACAAAGTCACAAGAATTTCAAATTCACTCAGTCACACTCTCTACCAAAATGAAGGCATGTCACTCAAGGGGGAAAAAAACCATCAAATTCTTCCAGGGTTTGTAGTGACGTTTCTTATCTCTTTAACAGACGGTACGCTCTTTTACAGCTATTTATTCAGAATGAGTTACTGAGTTCCGATAAGGAGGAGAGTAACTGCAGTACGACAGTATAAGAACTGCATATTCTCCTAACACGTGCAGTTTTATTAAGAATAACATTTTTACGTTACAAACTGCAGTAATTAACGTCTGCAATCCTCGACCCAGTCTTTGGGAAACAATGGTCTAGAGCACAAGTCATTTTTTAATAGATTGTCATTTAACCTCAATCTCACAACAAGGGTCGTTTACGATGATCCCAGCACATGAGGCAATGAAGAAGTATTTCAGTAGACAAAGGGACATCAAGTATCAAGAAGATGATGTTTACTGGATGGGTCAAATACAGTGGTCATGTTCAGTACGTGTATAACAAATGTATGGTGGGTAATTGACAATTCTAATCAAGCTTATGTTTACAAATGTTAACCATAAACTGCATCTCCCACAATGACGGTGCAACAAGTATTAACTCAATAATTTCTGTCAATTACCTAGGAATATAATAAAAATAAAAACATAAGTTCCTAGGTAATCAATCAGAACTAACTTCATTAACCAACCAACTTAATTTGGGACGTGTTGCTGTATCTTCTGATGCAGGTCTCTGAGCACCAGAGAGTCGATCCACTTGGATCATGGATGGACTTTGTCAAAAGGCCTGTTGGAAACTTTCCCGCAAAGTGTCGCAAACGCAAACGTCCACTGGTAACGCCTTTAATATTCACTGATAAAAGTCATTTTTATATCGGTTCCATTTGTGATTTAGAAAAATCATGTTTAGACTAAACAGGTTGACGATCTCTATGTTTTTTCCCGAATAGCCCGGCCCACCGGGTCCCCCGGGTCCCCCGGGCCCACAAGGACCTCCTGGCTCACCAGGCGCTGAAGTGACCCAGGAAGTTCTTCTCCACGAGTTCAAAGAAATGATTAAAGGTAAAAAACAGACCAGGCTGTAAATGCACAACTTTATATCTTGATTGTTATGCTATAGTATTTTACCTCTTACATCGTCTTCATCTGGACCTGACTCTAAGCTATGGTTCTGACAGAGGCTACAGAGCGAAGGACAGCGGCCCTTGAGAAACAGACCAGCCCCAGTCAGCTACCGACTGCCCTCCTCACCCTGGAGGGTATGACCTCCTACAGGCGAATAGAGGAGGCTTTCCACTGCAAGCTCAAAGGACCAGTGGTGGTGGATAAGAAAACGCTGGTGGAGCTCCAGAACTTTCAGACAGTATGTTTGTATGACATTGAGTAAATGTTTATGAAGTGGTTCTGCCATGCTCCCTGCTTGCGGCTGAAAAAGTAAAGTTTTGGCTAGTTCTCCTCTGTTTGTTTCTAAGCCATTTGCTTTTTCTCCGAGTGTTTGGTAATCATTGCTCGTCTGCGGAGATTCTCACTCATCCAGGTCACTGCTTTCCAAACGTTTGGACTTGTTCTTTGTTGAAAATGTTTTCTTCTCGACTAAGACCGTAACATTTAAGGCTAATCATGGTGGGGATTATGAAGGGATCGTCCCTAAACTGGCAACGTGTGCAGTGCCACTCCATCACTAGGACCGGCTTTGGTTAATTTTTTTTTTCTTCTTCACTTTAACACATCACTCTCTGGGCAGTGTACAAAAGGCACTCTGTCTCAGACTTGGAATAAAGTGTGGAGAGGACAGAAATAGACACTGTTTGAAACAGCACGCTGTAGTGTAAGGACTATCCCTCCATGGGATGGGCTGACAAGGCCTGAGGGGGAGTATTAGGCTGGGCCGAAGTATTAAGACCTGTTGACTAAGCAATAAGCTGTATAAATGTGTTGCTATTTATACAAGGGAACACATGTTAACCATTAAATACCTGCTCACATGTCGATTAACAGCCTACTGGATTTTTATGAGCGAAAATAAAGCACTTTGAAATAATTTTTCTGCAGAAACAAATCGAAGAGATGACCATCTCGGTCATTATGCTAATTTTTCTTTTCTTTTCTTTTTTACATTATGGATACAAATAAATGGTTAAAATGACATCACAGACTCTCCTCCCTGCCCTGAGGGGCTGATATCAACAAAGCTTTAATGCCTCATTCAACCAGTTAATTACAAGATGGTGTTATTTTTATTTTTATTTTTTTTCCCAAATCTAATCTTATACCTCAATCAAATCTTTTTCAGGAACCATTTCATAAATCCTTTAAGACCAGTGTTCACCCTCTGAACATAAGAAATGCACATCAAAAACAGGGTGAGGTAATGCTGCCCTCGGTGGATACGGTGGAGCTGCACACCTCCAAAGTCATAATACTGTTATCTTTGCGTAATAATGGACTATTTAAGATTGATGGTCGTATTCTTAACGTGTCGTAAAGTATTTTATATCCACTTAAAAGTTTAATATTTTAACCCAATCGCTAAAAGACCACAAAAGAAGCTGCTAGATAATTACATTTTAATAAAGACATTTTTTGTGTAAAATATAATTTTTTTAAAGAAGCTGCTAGATAATTACATTTTAACATTTTTTGTGTAAAATATATTTTTTTTAAAAATCCATTGATTAAAACTTTCTTGACAAAGCTCTGTAATGTTCTGGTGCTGCATTCCAGTGTTTTTAGCCGAACCAGGACTGTTACATTTTCATTTTGTTTTTGTATCAATTTACACTTTTTGTATTGATGTTTGCTACAGGTAGACGTACTTTGGTGTTGAGTCACATGCTAATCATCATTGCCAAGACTTTATATCTTGTAAAGTCAGTGTGTGAAAAAGCTACAATTGAATTGAAAAAAAAAATAATAATACATTTTTTCTCCTTCCAGCCTCCAGCTAAAGGTGCGTTCATCAGAGGCTCAGGAATGGACCTGTCTACAGGAAGATTCACAGCTCCCATCACAGGAATCTACCAGTTCTCTGCTAATGTCCACATTGGTAAATCAAACTGAAGTTCTTATAGATGTTATAGTGAGGCCTCAGTGCTGTAGAAGCCAGACTGCTGCTGTAGACGTTGTCACAGTCTGATGATTAAGACACAATTTTATATTTTATGTTCATGAAAACCACGGGATACGTTGCGTTTGACCTTTTGAACAAAATAAACCGTTCAAACGTGATGCCTGGGCCAATGGCTTCATAAGTGTCCTATCAACTTCTCTAAAGCGATGTGGTTTTGCGACTATTTAAGCTAAATTGTTAGCGGGAAGGGGAGGGGTTGGTGGTTGTGTGTAACACAGCGAGACGTCTGCCAAGCACCAGACCACAGTCCGAGAGCAGTTTGAGAACCAAATGTCAGAAGATTTGTTGCGGATTGTTGTGGCGTACTGAGGAATTTGTAGAGAGAGTTAGAATGCGGTGTAGTTTTCCTGAGGTAATTAGGGTACTATTGATACCCCGGCTGACACCGTCACTGCCTACTGATGTAGTATTAGAGCAGTCCTGATGACAACCATACATCAAATAGGCCTGGCTAATATGAATGGATATATTGGCAGCGTGAACATACACTACGCCAGTACTTCTCAAATAGTGAGGCGGACCCTCTTG